CGGTATTATTTGTTGAAGTTTTTTTTTTCATAATTTAGCACGTCTTAGGTACGAAGTAAAATCAATAAATTGCTAATTATTTAAATTAGATTTTGTCGTACATGTAATTAAAATTTCGAAAATTATAATTATTTGTTGGATTAGATAGCTTTTCAGTTAAAAAGTGCGTTGACTGAAACCTCAAATCAGCTTTGATTCGAATATTAGTACTGAAAAGATCGCAGGATCTCTTCAATTTCGGTTTTACATAATTTAAAGATCATGAACAAAAAGGCCAAGTTCATATTTAAAGAAATCCTTCGAAAGAACCTAGTGTAGACGGCACTATTTTGCTCCTTATATTAAGGTCTATAAAAGATCGAATGTTGAGGACCACGATAAAAAGCAAATAAAGAAATTAAAACTACTGTAGAACTGATTTAAAGACTGGAAGTTAACACCAATAGATTTATAAAAGAAAAAGTTAACAAGACCCCAATAGTATCTGATCTTTACTTACCAGACATGTCAAAAAATCTAGAATTTTTCTCCCGCTAGAAATCTTGCACAAAAATGAATTTATTGCTTCGTGAGACTCCGAAAAAGTAATTTTTACCAATCGACAGTACAAGCCCTGATAACTATCGATCGAGCAACACATCGTGTTATATGCAGTATAGTTTCTAATGGAACTTATCGATCGAACTATATATTCCCTTTAAGAAAAGTAAATATACAATCCTTTTTATGAACACCCAGCAGCACAGATAATTTAATTTTTAATTTATGTGTAAATTAAACATTGAATCAACTAATATGAACTATAAAAAACTTTATATTATTCAGTAGTGTTTATTACACAGTGTCCATCTTATGTTTACAAGATGAAATCCTTAGTTGGCGATAAGAAAACAAATAAAAAAGTTGAAAAAAGCAATTTAATTTCTATTTTTGTCTGGCATATAATATAATATGGACGTATCAGAATGTATTTACATCATGTATGTATGTACTACATGTTTGTGCATAATTTATTCATGGTTTGTTCTAGTAATACCAACAGCTATAAATATTTCTATAACCCTTTTTTATTGAATTTATATTTGTACACCATTTGTTGATATTGTATACGTCAGTTACACTAGACATCAGTATTGATGCTTAGATAGCGCGAGAATAAATCCCTTTTGAATTCCAATACTTATGGGGAAGATATTACGAAAATCTCTGTCGAATAACTAATGTTTGAAATCATATTTCTTAAAGATGCATTAAGAAACAACATTCTTTCATCGGAATGGAACTTTTTATATAGTCTAGAAGGAAGTCTATAGACTATAGTCTAAATGGAACAGTCTATAGTCTATAGACTAGACTATAGAATAAACTATAGACTAGACTATAGACTAGAATATAGACTAGACTATAGACTAGACTATAGACTAGACTATAGACTAGACTATAGACTAGACTATAGACTAGACTATAGACTAGACTATAGACTAGACTATAGACTAGACTATAGACTAGACTATAGACTAGACTATAGACTAGACTATAGACTAGACTATAGACTAGACTATAGACTAGACTATAGACTAGACTATAGACTAGACTATAGACTAGACTATAGACTAGACTATAGACTAGACTATAGACTAGACTATAGACTAGACTATAGACTAGACTATAGACTAGACTATAGACTAGACTATAGACTAGACTATAGACTAGACTATAGACTACACTATAGACTACACTATAGACTAGACTATAGACTAGACTATAGACTAGACTATAGACTAGACTATAGACTAGACTATAGACTAGACTATAGACTAGACTATAGACTAGACTATAGACTAGACTATAGACTAGACTATAGACTAGACTATAGACTAGACTATAGACTAGACTATAGACTAGACTATAGACTAGACTATAGACTAGACTATAGACTAGACTATAGACTAGACTATAGACTAGACTATAGACTAGACTATAGACTAGACTATAGACTAGACTATAGACTAGACTATAGACTAGACTATAGACTAGACTATAGACTAGACTATAGACTAGACTATAGACTAGACTATAGACTAGACTATAGACTAGACTATAGACTAGACTATAGACTAGACTATAGACTAGACTATAGACTAGACTATAGACTAGACTATAGACTAGACTATAGACTAGACTATAGACTAGACTAGACTAGACTAGACTAGACTAGACTAGACTAGACTAGACTAGACTAGACTAGACTAGACTAGACTAGACTAGACTAGACTAGACTAGACTAGACTAGACTAGACTAGACTAGACTAGACTAGACTAGACTAGACTAGACTAGACTAGACTAGACTAGACTAGACTAGACTAGACTAGACTAGACTAGACTAGACTAGACTAGACTAGACTAGACTAGACTAGACTAGACTAGACTAGACTATAGACAAGACTACAGATTAGACTATAGACTAGACTACAGATTAGACTATAGACTAGACTATAGACTAGACTATATACAAGACTACAGATTAGACTATAGACTAGACTATAGAATAGACTATAGACTAGAATATAAACTAGACTATAGATAGACTATAGACTAGACTATAGACTAGACTATAGACTAGACTATAGACTAGAATATAGACTAGACTATAGAATATACTATAGAATATACTATAGACTAGACTATAGACTAGCCTATAGACTAGACTATAGAATAGACTACAGAATAGACTATAGATTAGACTTTAGACTAGACTATAAAAAGACTATCTAGTCTATAGACTAGACTATAGACTAGACTATATACTAGGCTATACACTAGACTTATTGACTATCCTATAAACTAGATTTCCTCCCAACTCTTTTAATTCCTTTTCATATCGTTGACCAGTGTTAAAGCTCCTGAATAAATAAAACGTCAGCAAATAATAAAAGAAAAACAATTTACATTGCTATTGATATATTGAGAACTGCAAACTAACAAATACTCATACAAATTTTGTGGCAAATAAATGAAACATGCAGTACATAGATAGAAAATATTCATGAAGCTTATATGTGCATACGTCTACGAGTCCGTGTACGAGTATTGTAATCTGTTGACATCTGTTGATAGAACATGTTGAAATGAAATGAACAGAAAAACATATAAAAACAAAATAAAAGACAGTGAAATAAGCGTCACAGCCATTTGATACAGATGCAGACACAGTTACGCCATTTATTTAATGGGGTGTCATGTCAATTGAAACTTTTTCATTAAACCACTTTCTTGCATCACAAATTACTTGTTGTGTTTATTGTATTGCAGTTTTATTTAAGGATTAATTTTCATTATTTCTTCAAAGAAATGAAAAAAATATGTTTTTCATTACTCATTCATATTTTAAAAGCAGATTAAAAACTTTTGTTTTAATGTTAAGGAAAGTTTTTGTTTAAATAAATTGTTTAATTGAAAAGCATACAAATTAATGCTTTAAATTCGTATGGTTTTATGGCAAAATGTCATAAGATAGAATGTTGTAGATTTTTGTAATCTTGAAAATTGTTATTAGAATCCTCGATAAGTTAATAAATAAAGAAGCAAATCATAGTCATATTATAGGAACAATAAGATATCATGTAGATAATGTTATCCAAAGTTCACGGAGGCCTAATAGCGCCTTCTTCAAACCATGATGATGGACAGTCTATTGATTTTTATGGTGTGCAGTATATCTAATATAAAATGGTCCTTCAGATCCCCGGACGAGTACAATATTTTTCATGCGGAGATCTTAGTGAACTGGAATACGAGGAACACATCGATCCGAGGCCGTTGAAAGCATTTTATGTCATAAGCAGGCTTCATTTAGAAGCTAGACGAGATAGACGAGAGATAGCTGACGAACTGCAATAATTAGGTTTAAATATTGACCAATATGAATGGGACAGGAGTTAAAAGTACTCAGCTGTACAGATACATATTAGGTTTATGTTATGGACGTTGACCATAAAGTTGAAAAATAATAAACTCTAACAAAGAAAAAGTACATAAATAAGAGTAGAGGGGAATGGAAACTGACCGATTCTTAAGTATCTAGTCGTTGATTCCGGCAATCTCCCCAACTCGTCATCTAAACTGTTTCCCAGCCATTTCAAGCTAATTTTCTGTATTCTAGGACAATGGAACATTATATACTCAATCCTTACTTACTGACAAAGGCTTTAATCAAGCAATTAAGGTCGCTTTCAGAATTCTTAAACTGCGCTTTGCCCTACATCAAGTGTTTACCTTAAGGCCTGCAATTTTTTGCTATCAATTGTGTTATTGCACGACTGGTTGATGATGTCACGACTTCTCTCGAAAATCAACATATAGTAGTGACCGATGAGTGGTTTTACTATCTTTCCCTATCGTTCATATCATGATTCGAATCTAATGCAGTCTTATTGTCTCATAATGTCCCCATGATCTACAACAAGACGCAAATATACCGTATGTCATGACAATACTCTAAGAGCAGTTTGACTGTCGATATAAATTGTCACAACTGGCCCTAGATCGATATGATTCCGTATCAGTTGCGAACCTTTCCTTATCTCTAGAATCTATGCTTGGAAGACACTACGTTCGACAGGCCCTTTAAAGGACCTTTCGACGGTAAATACTGCACACATATCAAACAGTCTATCGGATACAAGCCAAACGTCACGAGTTGGAAATACATTAGAGGAGTTTCATCGAAGTCTAGGGTGGCAGTTCCTGTAATTTCCAGAATTTATACAAATGTATATTTTTGACAGTCTACAACCAATATTTCGATGAGTTACAAACGGAATGACAAAATCAATATGATGGTTTTAAATAAATAATAATTTTTCACTAACATATTTAAGTAGGTATATATTTTTTGTACATTTATATAAAATATACCTATTAATTCTTTAATAATAATTTACCAACATGTAGGTACATACATACATAAGTAAAATATAATAATAAAATATGAACTTACTTTTATGGAGTTGAATTGCTTCTCCTATAAGGCGCTTTAAATTTTGATTTGATTTATATAATGTTGAACGTTCTCAAGTACCTATACGATATTATGTATTGAATTTGAAACACTTCAATATTTGTATATTTGAATTCACTTAATATTTATTTTGCTTTGTTTGTATATTTGCTTTATTTATTTATGTATGTTTCTTTTTTTAATTAAAAAACATATCTTTCACACATAAAAAAAAACTAAAAACCAACACTGGCAGTAAAATATAGAAATCAATCAACAACAACTATTAGTTTTTTTTGTTTTTTATTAAAATTATGCTTTTATATTATTTGTCGATTTAGATTTTGTTGTTGTCAGTTATAGCTGCTATACGCTGCACAAAATTTCTAGTGGGTTGATAAATGTTTAGATGTGTGTACTTCTTTTACCATAAAAAATAACACAAAAAACAATAAATTTATTATAATTTTTTTAGTTTATTGTTAAGTTTTTCTTATTGTTAAGACGTTTGCTGCGTCAACTGCGGCAGAGCGAGCAGTCGCTATGTTGTGGCACCAAATAGGAAAGAAAAATTAAACAAACAAGCAACACTTTTTTTTAATATTTATTTTTATGCACACACCAGCCAGACAGACTCAGGAAAACAGCAACAGAGGCAGCAGCACAAAAGTTGCAATGTTAAGAAAAAAATTAAATGAAAAATCTTGAAGATACTCTGCCTTTTTTTCTATCTTTGATGAGTAATTTTTCCACACTTTTTTCTATTCTAGACACTTGATTTTGTAGATGAATTTTTTAAAAATATATAATTATATATATGCTTTAACTTCAGCGTTCACTTTTGCACATATTTTTCAACAAATTATTTAACTATTTTTAGAAAATATTTAACAAAAATAAATTTTACAAAAACTACACACAGAAGAATGATCCGAAGAAGTCGACTGCAAAACCGTATTTGACAGAAATTATTCATACATGGCCAAGGCGAATTTAGATAAGGTGGTGGCAGTTCTGCAACAACAACATCAAGACGAATTCATATAAGGTGGTGTTATTCAATCAGCTGATAATTTTTTTCTTAATTCACCTGGTTTACGTAGCTGTCAAAGTTTGTTATTGTTTACATTTTTATATTTAAAAATGTCCGTTAAACGGAGAAAAACTTCGTTAATATTTTGAATTATTTATATTATTATTTTATTATTATTTAAAAATCTGAAAATACCAAGCATATATCATTTTATTTAAATAATGACATAATTGGTATGTATACAAATATGTTATTTAAGAAAAATATTTTTTTCTATTAAATGTTAACATATTACACAATATTGTTTTATATTTTATATTAAAATTGTGTAGATAACGTGATTAACTAAAAAAAATCTCTTCCGGAACACTTAATATTAAGAAACGCATATGAAGTATTTACCCGGCTGGCGGGAGCTGACTTCTACGTTATGGCTTAATTTTGAAATCTATTAAATGTTAACAAATTAAACAATATTGTTTTATATATACACTATGTAGATAAAGAGATTAACTAAAAAAAGTCTGTTCCGGAACGCTTTAAATAACAAAACCCATATGAAGTATTTACCCGTCCGGCGGCTGCTAAATTATGGCCAAATATTGAAAATTACTCCGCCGGAATATTCAATTCAGAATATATTTTCCTCACAAATTTTAATATCTTTATCTTTATTTTTTAATATAATATAAATATTTTACAAAAATTTCTCATCAAATGAATTCGCCGTACTTATGATTTTTGACATCTACGTAAACCAAATGCAAAAACAAAATACATGTAAAATGTTGTTGATGCAGAACTGCCACCACCTTATCGGAATTCGCCTTGAACACCACCTTATATGAATTCGCCTTGTACATGGCCGTTCTCAGTTTGGTAACAGAGCCCTGCGCCGACAAATATTAACGGCGGCGGCGACTGACACTAAATATGTCGGCGGCGGCTTAAAATCGACTGTAAGCCGTCTAAGTTTTCAACTACGTTTAGTTTTTATACCCTCCACCACCAACAGTGGTGATTGAAGGTATATATAAGTTTGTCGTTCCGTGTGTAAGACCAAGAAATATTCATCTAAGACCCAACAAAGTATATATATTCTGGGTCCTTATGAACTATGTCCGTCTGCCTGTCTGTGTAAAACACGCTCACGTTAAAACTAAGCAAAGAAAATCAACCAAATTCACCCAAAATATTTATTATTATCCTAAGCAGTTTGGTATTGATCAGCAAAATCGGTTCACAACGTAAAAAGTTATGAGTAAAAATTTCAGACTACCTCGAAAAAAATTACGTTTTTTTTCATAATTCTTTTGAAGTTTTCTTCGAAACTACCAAAGATATTTCGATGAATTTTCTCACACATTATTTTCTCAGGGCAGTGATCAATCATGTTCAAAATCTTTACAATCGATCCAATATTTCCCATAGCCCCCATTCAAAGGTATATTTTCCCGAAAATTAGTTTATCCAAATCTACTTAATCTACTAGATTTGATTTAAAACATGTCGAAAATGTATTTTTTCGAACAAGATTTGCTAATACAACACTGCGTTGTGTCTAGGATAAGCAAATACAACTAGAGGCTATCCATTCAAGTTGAATGTTTTCATCGAAAAAGTGACTTTTCATTTTGAAATAAAAACAGAAAAAAATCCTCATAATTTTATTTTCCATAAATGTAGGTTTCGGTTCCTAAAAATGTGTTTTTCGTCGACATCGACATTTGAAAGCCATTTATGTGCGTTTAAGTCGTTTTCTGAAGATTTCATATGTGTTTAGGGTGAATTATACTTCGATCGTCATAAAATTTGGTAGACATATTTTCGTTCCAACAAAAATTGTTTTATTATGGTATTATTAAGTACATAGAAAACGTTAAAATCAATTATTGAATTATGGCCTATAGAGATTTCGATTGATATCGAGCCTTTTTTGCAAAATGGACGAAAGCGACATTATTTTCGATTTTAGTTTTTTTTTATAGAAATCGATAATTAAGCTCTATTAGCATCATTTCATTGTTCCTTTTTTCCCTTATTTATATTGAAATTGGTAACCCTATAATTTATGTTTGACATTTCTATGTAAACAAACAAATTTTGCATTTTTTTTATTATTGTGTTAAAAATACGAAGAAAAAACATGAATCCTTTAGAAAAAATCCATGTTTTAGATGAAATTGAAAAGGAAATAATATTATGTCTACAATCTGCCGGTAAGTTAAGCTATAAACTCTACAATTACATTGCACTTTAACCATTTGATTGGCCCCTTTTTTAGGTCTGGCACTCCAAGAACTAAGCAAAGAAAAGTCATCGCAGAAAAATGCCGAAACCCAGACACAACAATTCACCAAATCCCTCTCAAATGTGGAAATGAAACTCAGCGAACAAATCAATTATCTAACACAAGTATCAACAGGTCAGCCTCATGAGGGTTCTGGTTATGCCTCAGCTAAAGTTTTACAAATGGCCTGGCATCGCATATCACATGTAAGGTCAAGAGTTAGAGAATTAGAGGAGACCAAAGCCAAGTATACACATGCCGCTAGACAACAACAGCAACAGAGGCAGCAACAGCATGCTGCTCAACAGGCTGCTGCCGCTGCCCAACAACAGCAGCAGCAAATGGCTCAACAACAACAACAGCAGCAGCAACAACAGCAATCCCATCAACAAGATTCCGGTTCAGCGGGAGGTTCTAATGCTAATGCAGGTGGTGGTATTATGCCGCAAGATGTAACAATGCAGCAAAGTGGTGGAAATTAAAATGTTTTTTAAAAACTAAAACTTGTTTTCATTATATTTACATAATTAAGGCGGCTTTCCTTTCTCCTCGACATGAATACATATCCTACAAATGTCTGACGTTCTGTCCCACATAACAGCTTTAAATAAGCAGTTACCAATGTTCTTAGAGTAATCAGTCAAAGCCAATTTGTGTTTCGAAACCTTTAATAATGACAAATTGGGTATTTTACTTGTCTACATCCAGCTAAGTTTAGTTCTGAACCTTATTTTACTTCAAATTCGTAAAGAATTTTGTCCTGCCCTCAATTTATATACATTTTTAACTAAATTCTTGGAGCCCACTATTTTGAAAACAGTTTCTAAAACTTAATAACCTCATTGAATCGCAAAAACTGTAACTTTTCAATAAATTAAAATTTTAATATTTTTCTTTTTATTTCTAGTTTACCGTAAATATCTCACTTTATTTTTTCTTTCTTTAATCTAATTGGTTTAATAACTAAGTATATATTTTAATCTTCTAGTTTTAATCAGGTTTTTCTTGACTTTTTTGACCAATGCCAAAGAAATTATTTTCGCATACATAACGTACACACTGTAACAATACGTTTCTCTCATGTCTTATATCCGCTTCAAGTAATTTTTCCAGCATAGTATTTTGTTTACGCAAACGAGCCTTACGATAATCTAAACCTGATTTCCGTTTTACAGCTTGTTTTGGTTTAGATATACTAGGCGATTTCTCCGTTTGATTATTTCGCTTTTCTACTGTTTCCTCTATAGAAGTTTTGTTTGGATTGCTCAACGATTTAACAGGATAGTCTGGTATACTTCGTTGTATAGGTGTTTCTTCAGGAGCTTCGTCGGATGAATTGTCCTTAGGGGTAGCATTTTCATTTACGTCTTCTGTAAGTTTCTTTTCATTTATAGGCATATTCCTATTGTTGGGAGTATCTGTTTTATCTTCGCTAATATCGTTAGAGTTGTAAGCTTGCTGTGAGGATGAGCTATCTTCTTTCGGTATTTTTTCGGAGTTATCTTCATTCGGTAATTTTTCACTACTTACTTCAATATCCTCCTTTATAAAACTACTATTTACAAGTTTTTCAGTTTCAGTCTCCATATTTTCATTTTGATCTGTTAATTCGCTAATGGCTTCTACTATTTTGGTCTTATCTTTATCGTTCTGCCCACCAACACTTTCATTTTCTTCCGATTCCTCATTATCGTCATCCTCATCATCGGAACCATACATTCCCACTAGTCCAAATAAAGCATTACTTGTTACTAATTTTTTCTTATCATTAAAATGTTTATAGTCCTTCATTTGGCTAGTTCCTGTAAACATTTTTATTCCTCCACATACAAGATCATTTTCCTCTTCCTTCTTTTCATTATTAGGTTTAGACGAATTCTGTACTTTAGGTTTATCATCTTGATTGTTTTTATTATTCTTCTGATTACGTTTGTTTTTATTGCGATTTCTTTTATTATTTTTCTGATTTGATTTGCCTTCTTCTCTAGGCTTTTTTTCCTCTACTGGATTAGTATTTTCCGGATCATTGGGTTGTGCTCGTTTTCTATCGTTGGGCTTACCAAAACGATTTTTATTTGCCTCTAAACGTTCGCCACGTTTTTGTCTTTGTTCTTGTGCCTTTTTCTTTAACAAAACATTTGCTAGTGTAGGATATCTTTTGCGTCTTTCATCTCGCCAGGCAGCTATTTCCTCCGGCGTACTAAGCTTTTTAAATTTATCGAATAATCCCGAGGCATGAAGGGCATTTACATGTTTATCCATTACCGAGGGATGGCCTTTATAGAGACAACCCGCTACTGGACATTTTTCATGTTGAGCCCGATGGCGTTTTAAATCTTCCAGCGAATTTAACTCTAATTCACAAGGCTCACAGTACTGCTTTTCCGGAGGTGGTGGTGGTGTATCCGCTATAGTTGATTTATCACTTACAAGCCGCTGTTGTTGTAGATATCTGGGTGGCACTGTTGCTCCATGCTTACCATACATAGGTGGCGGTTGTTTCTCACGTGGTAGCAGTGACATACCCGAAGGAGTAAGAAAGTGTGGTTTTGGTTTGCAGGCATCTTTAGCATTTTTATTAAAATTTGGTGACGGTAAGGCAAATTTAATTGGTTTATCCATTGTATTCAAAATAAATCTATTTTTTTATTAAAGATTCACTCTGAAGAACAGCATGCTGCACAAATTGTTTGTTTTGATTTGTTTGTTGGTATTGCCATATTCAGATAAACAGAGTAATGTCAAAATGGTTATAAACGAGTTGATACGACAACTTCCTTTTGTTTCTTTCAACATTGTTTCAAATAATATTAACGGAATTTTTATTTTGAAATATTTTAACTGAAAACGGCAACGATTTCTATAATATTTCAACCAGATAGATGTTAACAAACATGGTAAGCTTACTATTTACAACGCATTTTGAGCTTACCACGTTTGTTAACTTTTAGACAACGGATGTGCATAATGTTTAGATTGCGACAACGAAATGTTGCAATGTTGACAAAGTTGCGTGGTCTACATTACATGTTGTTGTTGTATGTATATACTTGACAACGGATGTTATTGAAAAATTTGGTGTCAATTTGGTACCAGGCGTGTATATTTTCCCCCCTGTGTATGGATCTAAATTGGACATTTTGATCATGCAGGGTGTTTTTAAAATGTGTGTAACTTTTCACCTATTGGTTCTAGCAAAAATTGTCCAAAGAACTTAAGATATATAGAGGGACTATATTCAATAGACTCTATCTAAAATAATACAATCAAAAATCTTCACGAACTAGCGAAATAGTTCGTGAAGATTTTTGATTTTTTTCGTCTACAATATATTTTCACGACCATATTCTAAATCCTTATATAAAAAGAATTTAAAATTTTGCATTATATGCAAAATAATTCACAAATTTATATTCTGTGTTTAAAGTACTACGTATTCATGAAATAAAAACTAAACAAATTGGAGCCGTAAAGTTTCCAGTTCTTTTCATGAACAAAACAATAGGTATGTGAAATTTTATTTAAAATAAAAAAGTAGATACATTTATTTTTAAACTATAAAAAACAATTATATTAATTTAATTTCAACTCTTCTAAAATTACAAGAAACAAACGGCATGAAACATTTGCTCTTTAAACAACATGGCAACATTCCAAATTTGTATTACTATACGCTGGCAGCACTGTGTGTATGTGTCATTTTCGTTTTGTTGTCAAATTTTCGGCATTCTTTTTTTTAACGTGCTGCTGTACTGATTACACGTGTTTTTCGAAGCCATTCATAGTTTTCTACTTAAAAAAGTATTAATTTACATAAAATAATTGCATAAAAAATGGCCGATGTTGTAGAGAAAACCGCCGAACAGGTTGAGGAAGTTACCAAAGAAACTCCCGTCGAAGAAAAGAAGGCCGAAGGAGAGACAGCCGTCGTCGTCAAAGAAGCCGCCACCACCGAAGAAAATGGCTCAGATATTGAAAAGAAAATCATACAGCAAGTAGAATACTATTTCGGTGATGCTAATTTGAATCGTGACAAATTCCTTTTGGAACAAGTCGGCAAAGATGAAGAAGGTTGGGTACCCATTAGTGTGCTCTTAACTTTCAAACGTTTGGCCGCCCTCAGCACAGATTCCAATATCATTGCCGATGCCATGATGAAGTCCGACAATGGTTTGGT